AGTCCAGAACAAGACTTTTCCAGTACCAGACTACTACAATACCGGACTACTCCAATGCCAGACTACTCCAATACCGGACTACTCAAAACCAGACTAACTCGGTTCTAGACTACTTCAGTACTAGACTTCTCCAGTACCAGACTACTCCAGTATCAGACTACTCCAGTACTAGACTTTTCCAGTACCAGACTACTCCAGAACAAGACTACTCTAGTACGTCAGACTACTCCATTACCAGACTACTTTAGTACCAGACTACTCCAGTACCAGACTATTCCAGTACCAGACTACTCCAGTACCAGACTACTCCAGTACCAGACTACTACAGTACCAGACTACTCCAGTACCAGACTACTCCAATGCTAGACTACTCCAGTAACAGACTACTCCAGTAATAGACTACACCAGTACCAGACTATTCCAGTACAAGACTACTCCAGTAACAGACTACTCCAGTAATAGACTACACCAGTACCAGACTACTCCAGTACCACACTACTCCAGTAACAGACTACTCCAGTAATAGACTACACTAGTACCAGACAGTCTGACTAGAAGCCTTAATTATATCTAAAGGGGAAATACTGCAGAGTTTGCTATGTAAACATATATCTACTGTCAGACACACAGACTATCTGGATATATATAAAATAAATAAAATATATAATATAAAATATATAAATATCATAAATAATATGCCTGATTTCTAGAACTGTAAGATCTGAAAGTTACACAGTACATTAATTCCTAATTCGGCCAGATGTTCACAAACCATTCTTTAGTATTCTTAGACGAATATTGTTGGAATTCTATGGGAAGATTCGAAGGAGGAGGAAAAGGAGGAGTAGAATCAGGAGGAGTAGGTAGAAGAAGGTGGATGGAGAAGGAACCGAATTATGAGGAAAGTAGAATTAAGAAAGAAGGAGGAGAAGTAGGAGAAGTAGGAGAATTAGGAGTAGTAGAAGGAGACGGAGGAGGAGGAGTTGTAAAAGGAGAAGGACGAGAAGAAGGAAGTGCATGAGGAGGAGGAGGAGAACTTTAGAAAGGAATACCTTTAATCCCGACTGCTTAATCCGAATATCCAATGTGGACACTTTTTTATTTCTTACTTTATCCACCCTTTTTTGGATATATAGTACAGAAAAATCAAAATTTAAAATTTCCCGGCTTCAGATACGCGACTCTGATTGGTTGAATTTTATTCACTTTTCAGGTTACAAGTACAGGATTAGGTTAGTCTTGAGATTAAGAAAAAGAGAAGATCAAGCATTGATCTTGATATATACCATTCTAAAGTTTTCAGCTCTGGAGACATTTTTTTGTTCCGGATAAAAATAAGGCAAAAAATCAACGTATGTAATGAGTAAATGTAAAGATTCTAACAATTGTTTATTCAGCTGATTGAGTCGAGACATTAATCTCATGGAACAATAATTTTTATGCTTGGTCAAATATACAGAATAATATACAAATTCACAGTCAGGGATCAAAAACATTAAAGAAATTACATTGTATTATGTAAGATTATGATAATGAAGTCATACATGAATCCGCTTGCTCTATCACTTTCACGGTCTGGGTATAAACGTTAGTTTATTTTTTTTATCCGGCCGACAGGGGCGTATTCAGAAATTTGCCCAGGGGGGCTTACATTTTTTTCTTTCCAGGGGGGCTCAGCGCCCACCCGTTGGGGCATGAAAACTCCCTGAAATCAATAGATTACACTGGTCCAGGGGGGGCTTAGCCCCAATAGCCCCCCCTGAATACGCCTATGGAGCGGGTTAAAAAGAGACTAATGTGTCAAAAAACTCATGTTTTCCCTTATTTTGAGAGTATATGTGCAGTATTAATAAGGAGGGGGAATATCATTTGGGACGCATATTTAGAGGTTGGTAATGGATTAAAGCTCTCCTGTATTTAGAACAGAACATCATCAATTTCTACTATAACCATATGTACATGTATAGATACAAATTTTGGTCGCTTGAATTTAAAGATATTTTTCTCTCGCCACGAAGGGCGTTGGGTGGGGGGAAGGCAAGCCGCACCTGAATATGCTTCCATCCCACAGTTTACTCACAAGCATAGACTTGCAGCAATGCGCTCACCCGTAGCGCTTCCTTTGCCATACCCATATATCTTTCAGCAAAATGTCTTACTATTAATTTCTCTTAAAATATGATATTTTGTACATGGTTGAATTTCTCATTTCTTTCAGAAACATTTTTAGAGAAGATATAACATCAGCAGACATGTGCAAATTATTACATTTTAGTAGGAAATCGCTATAAATCAAAGTTTTTAACAAAAAAAACTATATGCCCCAGTGAGCGAGGATGTTTACTAATATTACAAAAAATATGATTAATATATTTAGAATGTAATAGATGCCCTGACGTATTTAAAATCTTAAATTAGCACTGAATTTAAAAGTAAGACATTTTGCAGGAAGATATATGGGTGCGGCTAAAAAAGCGCTATGGGTGAGCGCATTGCCGCAAGTCTATGTTTGTGAGTAAATTGCGGAATGGAAGCTATACGGGTGGGGCTTGCCTTCCCCTCTTGCACTGGGGGAGAGCATTAAGAAAAATCCGCCCATGAGGGGACTGCTGCAGAAAAAGAACAGATAACATACATTGACAAGCTGGGCGAGGGGGGGAGTCCAGAGTTCCTCAACGAGTAATCACCGCCACCCAAATGTGTTTTGCGGCAAGCATGCTCCTCAATTGGTAATCTCCACCACCTCAATTAGTAATCACCGTACAACTTTGTTTTCTGAGATTTTAATTTAATGCACTTTTAACACAATTTTCGACATCTATCGGGGTTTTATGGCATCTGTATTGACTTAAACTAAATTTTCAAATTGTTTTCAGATTTGTTTGGTCAACAAAAACTGAGAATCAAGGCACAGTTCATTTTAGCCGAATCTTAGATCCAATTCGCTCATTTAATGACTGCATTTCATGATTGGCGTTAAGATACTAAAAGGTCGGGCTGCCTGTTTACTAAAAATTATCTCATCCCACGCAAAGTAATATCCTACTGAAAATAAAGTATTAATTCCACTAATGGGTTAAGGTTTCCTCTCTATATAAGGAGTTTAAAACAAGGACATTCAGAGGAAAATGCCGAAAACATTCTGAAAGCAAAACTTGAAACTAAAAAAAACGTAATATATTTCTAGCGCTTAGTGTGGCATATTTTTAGATTTATTTTCGAAACTAAGGAGCAATAAAGAAATCTTTAACAATATTGTACACCATATAGGGCCATTAGCAGAGGTCAATATGGTCTTATTTCTTAGAAATAACCGATTTAATGTTACGCTTATTTTGGCTGATTACCAATTGAGGTGGTGGAGATTACCAATTAAGGAGCGCGCTTGCCGCAAAACACATTTGGGTGGCGGTGATTACTCGTTGAGGAATTCTGGACTCCCCCCCCCTCGCCGGACACTATAAGACACTCAAAGAAATGGACAGACATAAAAGAGGACATATGGACAAAAGGAACATAATATAAGACTAATGTATGACTGACTGCAAAGGACAACAAGACAACAAGATAATGATAATGATTTTAAAAGTAAAATTACTTGCCCACCTAAAATCACAAATAGAAGCCTCTAGTAGACAGACATGAGGCGGAAAGGGGGAAGTCTGGAGGGATCATTAATACAGGAGAAGTAAAGAAGCCCTCCTCTCATCTCTCTTCTTGTTTTTCTTGAAATTTGACCTTTTTCATCAAAACAAACTTTAAAGATCAAATTTTTTCAAGGTTTCGGTGGGTAAAAATTATTTATTTATATGATTTTTATTCTCATTGTAGTCCAGCAATCGGTTTTTTTTCTTTTTTCTTTACGAAAGTTATGTAAGACAAAATGTCCTTCGTATCCGAATTTTGAACATGACAGCTGTATATCTTATATTTAAATTAAAGAGTGCTATGGAGTGTTCGTACTTTTTAGCCTCAATTCTTCTAAAAACAATAGAAAAAATATCGAGCGTAAATTTAAGATAAAGAATTAGAAAGATTAAAGAGACTGTTTCTGTTATTTTTAGTGATTCTTGTAAACAAATTTGAGCTTTGTAATTAAATCATAGTTATGCCAAATAAAATTATATGCAAATTTAATTCACATTATATTTATTATTTCATATTGTATTTTTTTGGTTTTTAAATTACATCAAACTAAATTAAAATGCGCATAGGATTAAAATCTTCTGTGTTTCAATCCTAACTCCTCTTATTGAAGAGCTACTGAAAAGTTTTGAATTCCCAATTGTAATTGGATAAAAATTCTCATTTCTCAAAAAAACTGAAAAAATCAGAAAAATCAGAGTTCACAAGGTCGTAATACTAATTTCGCATAAATTATAAATTCATATTTTGTCTAGTTTGATGTGAAATGGTAAAGTTAAATGGCTTTTGAGATTTGCAAGGTTAAGTTCGTCGAAAAATGATTGCCAAAAGTTCATGAGCACATGTATCACCCAAAAAAACTGTGCAGGTCTTTAGAAGGAATTTTAATTCTGTGTTTTTTTATTATCAGAATACTTATATTGAATACGGCTAGTTCTATTATAAGAATATTTATATTGAATACGGCTAGTTTTATTATAAGAATATTTATATTGAATACGGCTAGTTCTATTATAAGAATACTTATATTGAATACGGCTAGTTTTATTATAAGAATATTTATATTGAATACGGCTAGTTTATCTCACATTTTAGTATTATATCCATGACAATATAACGGTATTCAACATAGTGTAGCATAAAACTTCGCGTATAGTCCCTTTAATATTATTTTTTTATTCTTTTTCATGCAAAGATTATACAGTTTTCTACAATGTACAATGATACAAATTTAAGTTTTTTTACACTCCAAATCAATTTTATAATGTTTCCTTGAATTTGTTGTTTTTTAAATTTAAAAATTTTATAATCTTTGTTTGTTAAAGATAACTTGTTGTCTTTAGAAAGAACGATAAGACTACAGAGAGGAAAATGGATCAGTGTAGGACAAAATGTTCAGCCTTCTTACACGTAATAATTTATTCATGACATCTGTTAAAAAAACTGTTTCATGGTTTTAAACTACATATGCTTTAAATCTAATACTTCATGTTCTAAATTTATGTTGGCCAATTAGGTACGCGAAATAATGATAAAATTAAAGAATACGTAAAGAAAGATCAATTATCAATAAGAAAATTCAGATTTAGTAAACGGTGTCCCAAAATGTAGATTTTGTCCAGGGTGTCCCAAAATGTAGAATTTGTCCAAAGAGTACCAAAATGTAGATTTTGTCCAAGGTGTCCCTAAAATGTAGATTTTGTCCAGGGTATCCCAAAATATAGATTAATTTGTCCAAGGTGTCCCAAAATGTAGATTTTGTCCAGAGTGTCTCAAAATCTAGATTTTGTCCAGAGTGTCTCAAAATCTAGATTTTGTCCAGAGTGTCCTAAAATCTAGATTTTGTTTAGGGTGTCCCAAAATCTAGATTTTGTCCAGGGTGTCCCAAAATGTAGATTTTGTTTAGGGTGTCCCAAATTGTAGATTTTGTGCTGGGTGTCCCAAAATGTAGATTTTGACCAGGGTGTTCCAAAAAGTAGATTTTGTACAGGGTGTCCCAAAATGTAGATTTGTCCAGGGTGTCCAAAAATGCAGATTTTGTACAGGGAGTTCCAAACTGTAGATTTTGTCCAGGGTGTCCTAAAATGTTGATTTTGTCCAGGGTGTCCCGAAATGTATATTTTGTCCAGGGTGTACCAAAATATAGATTTTTTCCAGGGTGTCCCAAAATGTAGATTTTGTCCAGGGTGTCCCAAAATGTAGATTTTGTCCAGGGGGTCCCAAAAACAAAGGGATCAAGTTATGACATTCCAATTGTCTTTGATCTAAGCGATATCGTTTTGAAAACATGATTGTATTAGTAAACATTTAGAAAAATTGATATAAAGAGATTTCCAAAATGTGGTCTGCCATTTTTAGAAGGACACCCTGTAAAATGAATGCATATGAAAAATACAATTCTATATTTTACTTTAGTACTGGTGGTGGGTGCTGGTCTTGCTGTTGGGCAGGATGTTTGCAATACAGAGGATTGTCAGCTAGCAGGTAAACCATCCTTCTCCAGGGAGTCTTTTTAGCACAGGAGCAGCTAGCATTTAAACCAGGTATTCTTAGTAGTACAGGAGCAGCTAGCAGGTAAACCATCCTTCTCTAGGTAGTCTTAGTAGTACAGAAGCAGCCAGCATGTAAACCATCCTTCTCCTGGTAGTCTTAGTAGTACAGGAGCTGCCAGCAGGTAAACCATCCTTCTCTATGTAGTCTTAGTAGTACAGGAGCAGCTAGGAGGTAAACCATTCTTCTCCAGGTAGTCTTAGTAGTACAGGAGCAGCTAGCAGGTAAACCATTCTTCTCCAGGTAGTCTTAGTAGTACAGAAGCAGCCAGCAGGTAAAAACCATTCTTCTGAAAATAGCTTAGCTAGTAGTATAGTTAGAAGGTGAATCATCATTCTCCTTGCAGTTATTTTGCAGTTTAGGATATGTATATTTATATGAATCAGAATATTCTTATAATAAAGCTGAGAGTATTCTGGATACTATGGATATAAACTGTGTGTTTAACCTATCTATGTTAAACTGAGTGTATCCTGGATGCTATGAATATAACTATGTATATAATCTATCTATGTTAAGCTGAGAGTATCCATGGATGCTATGGATATAACTATGTGTTTAATCTATCTATGTTAAACTTAGTGTATCCTGGATACTATGAATATAACTTGTATAAAATCTATCTATGTTAAGCTGAGAGTATCCTGGATGCTATGAATATAACTATGTGTTTAATCTATCTATGTTAAACTTAGTGTATCCTGGATACTATGAATATAACTTGTATAAAATCTATCTATGTTAAGCTGAGTGTATCCTGGAGACTATGAATATAACTATATATATAATCTATCTATATTAAACTGAGTGTATCCTGGATGCTATGGATATAACTATGTGTTTAATCTATCTATGTTAAACTTAGTGTATCCTGGATACTATGAATATAACTTGTATAAAATCTATCTATGTTAAGCTGAGAGTATCCTGGATACTATGAATATAACTTGTATAAAATCTATCTATGTTAAACTGAGAGTATCCTGGATACTATGAATATAACTATGTATATAATCTATCTATGTTAAGCTGAGTGTATCCTGGATACTATGGATATAACTATATATATAATCTATCTATGTTAAGCTGAGAGTATCCTGGATGCTATGAATATAACTATATATATAAAATCTATCTAGGTTAAACTGAGAATATCCTGGAGACTATGAATATAACTATATATATAATCTATCTATGTTAAGCTGAGAGTATCCTGGATGCTATGGATATAACTATGGATCCTTGCTCCGACTTCTACAGGTTCTCTTGTGGAGGATGGATGGATAAGAATACGATCCCTGAAGGAAAATCTAAGTGGGGTCGGTTCTACGAGCTCAGAGATAAAGTGGATCAAGCTCTTAAAGGTCGACACAACCATTGAATTTTCAGACAAGTTTTAGAATTATTATCAATTATTTTTTTCTTATTTTGAAGGAACTAAACACTCGCGGGAAACATTCTAGTCTAAGTTCCTAATCCTTATATCTTTACAGTCTGATGTCTTATGTTTTTAACTATGAATTTTGTTAAATTAAATTGTCAAAGTTTGAAATATCAACGGTTTTACCCAGAAGGTTGCAAAGATAATTTAGAGTTTGTGGCGAATGTTTAGATTATTTTAAAATAATTATCATTTGCAATCATAATTTAGATATTGTTGAGATGGAGGAAGAAGCCCCTGCAGTCTCTGTCAACAACCTGAGATTGATGTACCAAGGATGTATGAATACTGTTGCTATCGAGGCTCAAGGTCTAGATAGAGTACTATCCCAGGTTGGAAACCCTGCCTCAGGATGGCCAATGATCCAGGACGGATGGACCGGAGAAAGGTAAGACTTTATGGATCGAATTCAGCGATATGATTCTATCTGACAGTTTAGAAACCGATTGAAAAATCATATTTTGTTTTTAGTTTTGATGTTGCTGAACTGATGGGCCGAGCAAGGAGGAATTTGGGAGCTGACTGGTTGGTTTCTCTTTGGGTTTATTTAGATGATCTAAATACAGAGGAGAATGTTGTATATGTAAGTTTGTAACAATCTGAAATCAAACATTAAAAACTTTTTAAAAAATACGACAATTCAAAACAAAAGGAACGATCACTCCTCTCAAACTATATTTGGGCAACCAGATGGTGTAAATCTTTCATTTTTAATTTTGGCTATTGATCTACAGTAATAACCAGAAAACTCTGGAATAGGAAGACGACTTTAAGACTCAGTTTATGGCTTTAAATAGTCTAATGAACATGTGACACAGCAACTGTGTAGTGAAAACAGACCTACTTTTCTATAAAAATTGATTCGCAAGCTAAAACTATTTACTTTGTAACATCATCGAATACATTAAATTATTACTTTAATGTTGTATGCTTATTCCTCAGTGTTATGGTTCTCACTGTAGCAGAGTTTGAAAAATTGAAATATCAAAAGGATATAAAGATTAAAAATGAAAGTTAAATTAAACTTTTAAAAAACAATCCCTTTAAAAAAAGAATTGTTTAGATTGACCAGCCTGACTTGGGTCTAGCCCAGGCAATGTACCTGGATGAGGACAGCTACGCCGAGTACATCATCGCCTATAAGCAGTACATGGTCGATATTGCAACAGTTCTGGTCAGTATTTTTCTGAGGAATTCCACACAAACCTTCTCTTTAATGAAATAATAAAAAATCTAGGTCTTTTTTCTGTTTTCTTCTTTTTTTCTGTAGAAATATACTCTAACTACATAGAACCATAGCAAAAAAAGATATTAATAATATTTTCTGAAATAGAAAACGAAAGTACATCGTGAGGGGCAGATTCCTAAAAATTTAGTTTTATTTACAAGCAATTCAGATAGTTTACATAAGCGAATAAGAAATTTAATATCAATATCATTTTTTATACTATCTAAAGGATACTGTTCCAAATCTTCAAAAAAGACTCTTATGTTATTACTGAGATTAATACCATAAAATGTATCTTTTACAGAAATCTCAATCCCAGCTCAAGCCCCCTTTAAATTAATTTCAATATTTGTAGGCGAGAGAGCTTGGTTCTGGAGTATCTCAGGAGTCTATTGTACAATCTGTAGAAGATGTTTATACCTTTGAGAAACAGATTGCTATGGTAGGTTATACAAAGAATCAAATCCAAGTAAAACTAACTAAACAACAAATAATTTGCTCATTAAACTTGAAAGACGAAAGATATAAATTTATCTTAATTTAGCATTCGTTATATAAATCTGCAATCTTATATGTTTGTATGAATGTCACACTTTTATATGTCCTCAAGTATGCGTCCTCTATTATGTCCTCCAGTATGCGTCCTCTATTATGTCCTCAAGTATGCGTCCTCTATATGTCCTCAAGTATGCGTCCTCTATTATGCGTGTTTATTAGTGCGTATTTAATTTGGGCTTTAATTTTAAATAACTTTTCGTGAATGCTTCATAATTAGTTCGTCCTCTTTGCTAAAAAATATTGAAAAATACAACGGAATTTACGTACGTATAGACACGCACCCCTGACCCTTTAGTAAAAGCAAATTCAACCTAAAGTCTGACCGCGTCAACCTTGTTGCACCTATTGAGTGTCTGCTTTATTTACCGGGCGATACAGTACAAACTGGGACCGGAAAAGTTGACCTGGCTCGGAAATTCAAATGTACTACTGTTGTCCGTGTAGACTGTAGAGCCTCCTATTTCTGTATTTATATTAAAATAATGAAAAGAAATTGAGTTTTTGTCACAAACTCTTATTTTCTAATCCCGATATTGTAGAACTTTGATATTTCAAATTATAAATTATGTTAGATAAACACTTGACAGTCAATAATTTGAACTAGCAAAGGTTTAAATCATTAGATTGCGAAGATAAAGTGATTAGAAAATTTAAGTTTGTGGCAAAAACTCAATTTCTTTACTAAAGAAAATAACGATAAAGCTTTATTTTTATTTTTAAAAATTTAGATTTTGACCCCTGACTCTGACAGAAGGAACTCCACCGCTATGTACAATCCTATCACCCTGGCCGAGCTGAAGGAGACCTACTCCTGGTTCGACTGGAGTACCTACTTCAGCAGCGTGTTCAAGGACACCGAGGTCGAGATCGGAGATGATGAGAGGTTTATCATGGTTCAACCAAGCTATTTCGTTGCTGCAGAACAAGTTGAAGGATCTTACGAAACTGTCGGTAGGACAAATTTTAAATAAAGTTAAAAAGAATTTAACAAATATGTAATGTACAAAAAATGTTTTTAAAACTTTAATAATATTTTCTTTCAACGTTTAATGTGGGTTAAAGATAATATTATTAGATGCGCAGCTCGATTAATCTCTCCCCAATGGTTGGATTTTTTCTTTGAATTGAATCAGAAGAAAAAAGTTTACATCCATCCGATGATAAGAGACCAACTGTGAGCTGCCAATCCATTTGGGAAAACTGTCTCCGTTCATTTTGGATAGGTCGAGTACAAGGATATATGTTTTATTTTTCAGCTAACTATTTGTATGCTCGTCTCACAATGAAGCTGGCACGTGAATTGACATCAGAAATGCGCGACATTGCGTTCAAGTTCAATGCCGCAATGACTGGCGTAGATAAAGCTCCTGAAAGATGGCAGACATGTACTTCAGCTGCAACAGGTACATACATTTTACCATGGTTATAGAACAGCTTGTATTTTATTAAAAATAAAACTTACAAAATCATAAATTATTCATCTTTAGGAGCATGGGGCTTCGCTGCTGCTCACGAATATATTATGAGAAACTTTGACAGTGAATCAAAGGTATATAAAATAGTAATACTACTATTACAACTAAAAGAATGTGCGAACAAACTTTCGGAATATTAGCACGGATACAACACTTTCGGAATATTAGCACGGAAACAACACTTTCGAAATATTAGCACGGATACAACACTTTCGGAATATTAGCACGGATACAACACTTTCGGAATATTAGCACGGAAACAACACTTTCGAAATATTAGCACGGATAAAACACTTTCGGAATAATATCACGAATACAACATTTTCGGAATATTATCCGGAATAACAACACTTTCGAAATATTAGCACGGATACAACACTTACGGAATTTTAGTACGGATACAACACTTTCGGAATATTAGCACGGATACAACACTTTCGGAATATTTGCACGGATACACAACTTTCGGAATATTAGCACGGATAAAACACTTTCGGAATAATATCACGAATACAACATTTTCGGAATATTATCCGGAATAAAACACTTTCGGGATTAAAGCCTAAATACAACACTTTCGTAATATTAGCCCAAATAATACACTTACGGAATATTAGTCGGAATAAAACACTTTCGGGATTAAAGCCCATACATACAACACTTTCTGAATAGAAGCACAGATACAACACATTCGGAACATCCTACTGAACTCTTTCTACACAGAAACTCAAAACCAACACATTTTTACAATGCAGCCCAAATACAAAATTTTTTACTCGTTAAACCAAATCAAAACTTTCTACTTCTAAACCCAAATACAACACTTACTACAAATTAAACCCAAACCTGACCCTTTCTAGTCATTAACCCAAACCCAACCCTTTCATACTCATTAGCCCAAACTTCACGATTTCTCCATGTGTCCTTATTCCTTGCAATATTTCCAGTTCGCCTGGTACAAATAATCAATGCATGTAATTTCATAATAATTCTTGGAATAGAATATTTCATATTGACATTTACATGTACAAACTAATTTTAACCTCAAAGAGAATAGAATATATATTAGAGGGGAATTTAGAGAATCTCTCGGTATGAATTTTTTCAGTCCCTTTCAGCCTGAAAGGGAGTTCAAAGTGTACAAATCATGTAAATGTTCACAAATTATATGCAGTAGAGTACAATAATACTGTATGTTCCCTAGACTATCCATTTCAATTTCGAATTTTTTAAAGCTGTTAATTAAATTTTACAATGAATTAGAAGAATAAAAAACATCATTTGATTCATTGTTTGTAAAGTAAAAGGCATAGAGCCTATGTGAAATGATCATTGGTCAATTATGAAACCAGCCTATTTCATAATTTGGGTTTCTTTTAATATTAATTTTAGATTTTCTATAAAATTATATTCCAGGGCCCAAAAGGTTATATAGCATAAATATGTGAAGTGCACCTGCAGTATGGAAACAGTACAATAAAGTGGCCGTTTTACACTTTTTTCTAGTAAATTCCCCTCTAATATATATTCTATTCTCTTTGATTAACCTGACACATGATCTTTTACTGATTCAATATAATCATTGAATCAGGACGTCTTGAAATATTTTATTTTATTTTATTTTATTTTATTTTATTTTATTTTATTTTATTTTATTTTATTTTATTTTATTTTATTTTATTTTATTTTATTTTATTTTATTTTATTTTATTTTATTTTATTTTATTTTATTTTATTTTATTTTATTTTATTTTATTAGGCCGAGGCTGACATGATGGTTGAAGACCTAAGATCTGCTTTCCAGGAGCTGGTAACAGAAACAGACTGGATGGATTCAGAAACACAGGTATATGGCAAGGTTACATGAAGGGCTTCTCACAAAGGATGAGGCTAAAATGAGACTCAAAACAATTTAAATATGACGATCTGAATTTAAGATTTGGTCCTCTATCTTTAATACAGTCTTTTGATGGTTAATTAAATGGTTTTGCAGATACTTGAATGTATGAAACAGGACTCTCTTAAGTCTCATCCTTCGTGGATAACCCTGACGTACATAATACATTTAAGTACTTTTTAAACCTTGGGCATCGGAGGAGAAGCTAGAATAGAATAGAAGAGATAGAATAAACAATATGGAAACCAGGACATTAAAACTGATCATTAAATGATGAAAATTTATCATGATATTATTAAAAACTTGGAGATATTTGGTAACTGATCATGATATGGTTGGGACTTATCTTAAGATGAGTTTAACTGATTAAAAGAAAATTGAATATTAAATCAAAATTAGATTTTATTTTGTACAATTAAAGCATAGGAACAAAACAGAAGTCTTTTTTTAAAGATTACTCAAAAATACAATTTGAAAAAATTCTAATTGAAACTGTAGATCATTTTGTCATATTAAAGAATAAAAAATTTCTGAAAATAAAATTCAGATAAAAAGTAGGGAACCTAATTTCTATCTTTGTAGACTGCTGCTATGGACAAGGCTGAGAGAATGTTGCAATTAATCGGATATCCTGATTGGTTAGCTCATGAAGATCAATTAGATGAATACTATAGGTAGTATGGTTAGCTTAAGAAGATCAGCTAAAGATGAATACTATAGGTAGGATGGTTAGCTCATAAAGATCAATTAGATGAATACTATAGGTAGTATGGTTAGCTCATCAAGATCAATATGATGAATACTATAGTTAAGATGGTTTGCTTATGAAGATCAATTAGATGAATACTATAGGTAGGATGGTTAGCTCGTCAATATCAATTAGATAATCAACATGTGTAGGATACATATGGTTCAGCAAAAAATTTTAATCTTGAACATTTTGTGTATTTTGTGATTATTTTTGGTACATTGGACTATACTGAATAAAAATAGAGAGAGTTATTTTAACATTTAATAGTTTTTCTAAGATTAAAGAAGATTTCTTCAAGCTTTTTTGTTTCAGTGGTTCCAAGATTGCAGACACAGAAGATCATTTGAGTAACGTTATCAACCAATGGTACTGGGCGACAGGTAAACATTAGTAATCAGGGTTGTATATATCTAGGTAAGGATCTGAGTATCAGGGTTGTGTATATCTAGGTAAGGATCTGAGTATCAGGGTTGTATATATCTAGGTAAGGATCTGAGTGAACTAAGAAAGGTTCCTGAACGTGATGTATGGCTGATGCATCCTGCAATTGTCAATGCTTGGTATTCTCCGAACCATAATACTATCAGTAAGTAGTTTGTTTTCTTAGCTTGTAACTGTAAGTGACATTCCAAATAAAGAGTGGCACGCCTGATTCACGGCGGTTCTCTTTAAACCTTTATCTTATCAATAATGTGTAACAAATCGTCGTGTTTCTAAAAAAAACAAAAATGGAAATGTGCTTAATAAAAGGTTTAAAGAGTAGAGTCACATGAAATCACGTTCACAATTCCTTTAAATAAATAACAAATCCTGCTTCTTTTAGCTTTCCCTGCTGGTATCCTCCAACCTCCGTTCTTCCGGGGAGGTTGGCCTCGTTATCTCAACTATGGAGCTATGGGGATGGTTATAGGCCACGAGATTACTCACGGGTTTGATGATCAGGGGAGACAATATGATGGAACAGGAAACCTTCAACCTTGGTGGAGTGATCAAACCCTTCAGGTTTCAAATATTTTAGGATATTGACTTAGATCTACAGGGTGTCCCACGAAACATGACAGTTGGTGAATAGTTTAAAATGTCCTCTTCCATAATTTGATAAATTGTTTGTTACTAAAGATACTGATAACATTTTTTATATGTCAGTTACATTATAGTAAAATTGATTTCACACTAAAATATATATGAGTTAAACATTTATTTAAAGATATGAACTGGAAAAAGTTTTTATATCTAATACAGTATGTGGAAGAAGACATTCAAAACTATTCACCAATGCAACTGTCATGTTTCGTGGGACACCCTGTATGTTTCCAAAATAGCATTAATAAAAATGGTTCAGGGTTATTGAAATTATTGAAATATTTCAGGCTTTCCTGATTAATATTAATGAAATAATTTCATAAATAATATAACTGATATGATTTCAGGGTTTCCTGAATAAAATATTATTGAAATTATTTCAGGGTTTCCTAAATAATATTAATGAAATGATTTCAAGGTTTCCTAAATAATATTAATGAAATAATTTCAGGGTTTTCTAAAAAGTATTAAGAGTAAGAAATCCACGGTTTCCTAAAATATTAATGAAATGATTTTAGGGTTTTCTAAATTATATTATTGAAATTATTTTAGTGTTTTCTAAATAATATTAATGAAATGATTTCATGGTTTCCTAAATAATATTAATGAAATAATTTCAGGGTTTTCTAAATAGTATTAATAAAATAAAATCCAGGGTTTCCTAAAATATTAATGAAATGATTTCAGGGTTTCCTTGAAAGAGCAGATTGCTTTATCCAGCAGTACACGAACTATACTGTACCGGAACTAGAAGATGTACTTGGAGAAGATGCTCATGTAAGTTTGTGTATGTACATTAAACAGTGTATATTGTACAAGTACAATGAATATTAAACACTGTACAGTGTACTATCTGACATTTCGGCCATTTTAACTTAGTAATGGAAAGGAACCGATTATTTGTTACAAAATTTAATTTCCTAATCCCTATATCTTGGCAACCTAATGGTGTAAACCATTATTATTTCAAATGTAGACTATTTTATAGTTACGACATCAGAATGTAAAGATATAAGAATCAGAAAATCTGATTTGGTGGCGAGATATCACTAATCAGTTCCTTTTAACTTTCATTTTGAGTATTACTTTTTTAAAGAAGATGGGCGCGAAACGCCTTAAAAGCCTAGAATATAATTATCTAGCTACAAGTATTTATATATATCTACTATATATTTTTATTTATCTAGTTGAACGGAAAGAATACCCAGGGAGAGAATATTGCAGATAATGGTGGAATTCATGAATCCTTCAGGAAAACATTCTCGAACAATTATATATTTTTAAACTGATAAAATAATCAAAACATAAACTCAAGTTCATACTTTACAACGTAATATTTTATACACTCCAAAAAAGTGTTTTTGAAAATATATATTTATATATCAAACAATTTATTTATTTTTAAACAATAATCAAACACCGTTGATTACGTAACAGCATACACTCCAAAAAAAGTGTTTTTGAAAATTAAAAGTTTAAAAAACTAAATATATTTGAACCTGAAAATGTTGTTTGCTCAGAGCATACACGAGATCCTTAGAAACTCAAGGAGACGATCTGGCACTTCCAGGTTAGATCTTTGGACTTTGATTATTATTAAAAGTAATGTACACGAAGTTTCAAGCGATCCTTTAATTGTAGATTGGTATGTACGATTTACAATGGTACCCCGTAGACCTTTGTCGGATTAAGAATTAATTTCAACTATCGTGTTTCTCTTTAAAGGGACTTGAGGAAACAGAAAAGGAAATTGTCGGAATAGAACACTTTTACAGATAGAAAAACTACGATATCTTCCTCATTGTTACTAAGATAAAGGTTTGAAGGGTACTGTTGGGAAAACTACATACTACATTTTTCAAATTAATGGTCTCTTTAAAAAAGGAATATATACACCAGAACACAAATAAAACTAAGCACGTGGATTTAACGGTTCTGACAATATTTTAGAAAGCTGTGACTTTCGATCACAATTTGACTCGTTATACATAACTTTTTAGCAATTTTTCTTACATACTTTTTTGTCGGCATATACGTTTTGAATGAAAAAGTATAGAATAAATAAATCCGTAAATTAAAAGATTGTTAAATTATAGAACAAAGCACTTTTGATTTCAAATAAAAGAAACCGAATGCTTCTCACTCTGGTTAGTCCGGGGGACGAGTGGGATGGGTCATGGGCCTATGTTAAGGCTGGGAACTTTAAAAGTCTGGCCGTGAGAAACCTCCATTGCTTTGTTAACAAATCATATAGGTTCGGAAATGTTTGAACATTTTCTAAATATTTATTGGTTTGGACATGTTGGAACATTTTCTAAATATTTCATAATGTTGGAAATGTTTGAACATTTTCTTAATCTTTATAGGTTTAGAAATGTTTGAACATTTTCTAGATATTTATAATGTTGGAAATGTTTGAACATTTTTTAAATATCTATAGGTTTGGAAATGTTTAACATTTTCTAAATATTTATAATGTTGGAAATGTTTGAACATTTTCTAAATATTTATAGGTTTGGAAATGTTTGAACATTTTCTAAATATTTATAGGTTTGGAAATGTTCACATCTCAGCAAATGTTCTTTATTTCTAACGCCCAGGTAGAATTATAGATTATACATTACATGCATTTAGAGGCTTGAGATCTGAAGAGATAGAAAATGTCGAGAAAGAAAAAAATACGAAACAAATTATTATTTGATTCTCTCAAATTGTTATCTTTATGTTATAAAATGAATATGCGAGAAAACGGCAAATGTTTTTACACCCTAATTATCAATATTTTTATTATCAAGTATTTGGTCTTTGAAAAGTTCTAACGCAGTTATTACTGTTTGGACCTTTTCTAAGTTTCGAACCCTGCAAAATCATAGATTTTTGAGTTTTATACATTTTTATAATCGAACCTAAATAAAAAAAAAAAATCAGACCCTTAACATAAAAATTCTGTCTTCTTGAAGTCAAAATTGAAGTGCAGGGCAGGTTTAGATAATGACCTTATTCAGGTTTGGTGTGAGATACAAACCGACCAATCCCTGCTGGGCCAGGTACTAGGAGATCCACACTCCCCCGGCAAGTTCCGAGTTCTTGGTCCTCTCTCCAACTCCGAGGATTTCCAGAGAGAATTTAACTGTCCAGCAGACTCTCCGATGGTTAGACCACAGAAATGTAAACTGTGGTAATCAAGATCATTCAAATATTCAAATAAACATCTTTTTAAACATATTTTTAGTTTATGCACTGATAGAAGAAGTATATAATGGCCGAAAGCATTTCGATAATATGAAAATTTTGTTAGAATATGAGAACATTTTGTTAGGATATGAGAACATTTTCTTAGAAAATGAGAACATTTTCTTAGAATATAAGAACATATTCTTAGAATATGAGAACATTTTGTTAGAATATGAGAACATTTTCTTAGAATATAAGAACATTATGTTAGAAATGCTTAGAATATGAGAACATTTTGTTAGGATATGAGAACATTTTGTTAGAATATGAGGACATTTTATTAAAATATGAGAACATTTTCTAAGAATATGAGAACATTTTCTTAGAATATAAGAACATTTTGTTAGAAAATTAGAACATAAAAGAGAACCGGGAGAAAGAGAACCAGGGGAAAGTTCTATACAAATATTTAAATTCCCACAGCAAATATTTAAAGACTAATATTTAATTCAGATCTATTCAGAGTTTGTTTATTTATGCATCTATAGTTTAAATATACAGTTTAGAAATATTTCTACTTCCTGATTATTCATGATCATTGTTAATATCTACAATTTTTGTCTTTCTTGTTTAAATTTCAAATTTACGAACATTTTCTATTTTAAACCCCCCGACTCATTAATTTTGTTTCACTCGGTTCCCCCCCCCNGATATGTTAAAAATGTATTAAACGTGGTTGGCTGGTTGGTATAAATCCAATTCTGCTAAACCTATTTTAAGTCTAAATTCTTTGAATAGAAAAGGATATCTGAACCCGGAAGACAATGAACCGTAAAACACGTAACACAAAGTTACATAAAATCGTTTGGATTTTATGTAATTTTTTCTTCTCTGTACTGTGTATACTTCATACATTCAGATTGCAGTACACTTTGACATGAAAAAAAAATATTTTAACAGATTTTATTCCGATTTTCAAAGATTTGCGATAAAAGTTTTAAAAAAATTTAACTTCTAGTTTATAAGTGCTGAGTTTGTATAGAAACCTGGGATTAGGTTGAATTTAATAGGTGCACGCGCCTAGCCTCGCCTTCATTGCGCGCACACAGCACAGCAAGGTTATTTTGTATCTGAGTCTCTGAGATTAGTAGTTCTAGCTTCCTACATACCGTCGGACAGATCAATCTTTGGTTGGAGTATATATATACATGGTAAGTTCTTTTTATCTGTTAAATAACTTAAAACATGAAGTTTAGAAGTTTTTTATCACAAAATTGAACATGTCATATTTAATAAAGAAGCAAATATATTTTTAATTTCAGTAAAACTTAGTCAAAAACAAAGCATTTGATTTTTTTTCGAAAAATGCCTTTATTCTGTCTTTTGGTGTTTTTGCTTATTAAGTTGGGAAACGACTGAACCCAGTGGACGGGTCCAATTTTGGTCACATATAGCCGGTCAGAATTAAAAAATTTAATTAATTAAAAAATTAATTAAAAAATCAGATGGTTTGTAATTGAGACGGACAAATATTCAGAAAATTCCACCAAATCTAATTAATCAACGGTTGATTATTTCACCAGAAAGTGAGCATTTTCGAACTTATAGGCACCTTACAGCGCTAGGATTGGATAGGCTGTAATTCCATTCGTATAATATGGTATTATCTTTTTTTCATATATGTGAACGTTGAACGATCTATTGAATACTGTTCACAATGATTTCGTTCAGAATGAGATAGTTAGAAGAAATATTAATAAATTCTTTATATCTCTGCTAATTTTGAAAGCCTAAAGAGGTAAACTAGGACAAGGATTATATTGTTATTGTTATCTCAAGAAGCATACTTGTAGAATTAGGTTGACAAAAAAATCCGCAATTTTTTTCAGAAATCAAAGACGATTTGAAAGTGGTCTCTCAATTGGCGAGAAATTCCACTTTTTTGAGAATATCACTGTACTGTATAATGAAATGAATGTAGTTATACTAAATAGTTAGTTAATCAGACGGTAGTTGATCTTTAAGCTTAGGTGTCTGATTCTGACGTGAAGTGCATGCAGAACCTCTTGTATGCCTCGTTTGTAATTTATTGCGCCAACTTGATATTCTAACTTGCAATTGAAGGTTTTTATGTGCAAACTTTTTAACGCACGGAATGAATTGAACCCTTTGACGAATGTATTTGTCTCAAATATCATTCTATTGAACGTTCTTCTTTAAATTCTAGTGTACAATGAAAGGTTGACAAGAGCTGAAAATTTTATACAGACAGAATGACCCTGTCTTAAGTTGCATGATAGATATTTTACGAGAAAAGACTCTGAAATGTTACCACAATATATTCCAATTCTTGATGCATTTATTCTTCAGTTAATTCTTCAAACAATTGAACGTTCTGTTGTTTATTTTAAATTCTTCGATCAAAGGAATCTTTTTTTCTTCCTGGAGATAAAACATTTGAAATGACAAGTATTCCAGACCTTTGGTTTTAAGGCAATATTGGTTAAGAATTAAGCGTAGGATATTTCCTTTTTTAGAATCAACACGAAACATGGCAGTTGAAAAAACGACTTTATAGAGTCTTTGATCTTCGAAACAATTTGCGTCATTCATTCTTTAATTAATTTTACAAAGTATGATTTTTGAAACAAAAAACACTTGATTTCCTTTTAATTAGAATTTCACTCAGGTTTTAATTTGAATAAAGTACCTAAATTATCTCTGGCATATTGAAAGCATAAAAAGGCAGAGCCCTTTTCGGAGGTTTCATGAAATAGCGAGAATTTAAAAGATTTTGTCAAACAGAAATACATATTTATATCTACAAGAAAATATCTTTTTTCTTCCATTAAACACTGTCTTATTTTTTTCCGAAAATCAGAAAAACCAAGTTCCTAAATTCTTTCTTTTGATTTTCCATCCTACCAATATGTAACGATGAAATTATGCAAAATTATTCGATCAATTCATGTCGGATAAACATTTACAACCCCTCTGACAGGTTGAATGATTGAGGAGAAGATTAGATCTAAATTCCTGAGACAATAGAGTGTAATAATGCACTTGTTCATCCTACTTTACATCGGTCAATATCATGTATACGCTCATATCTATCTATCTATATATCTTCATATCTATCTATCTATATATCTTCATATCTATCTATCTATCTATCTATCTATCTATCTATCTATCTACCTATCTATCTATCTTTATATCTATCTATCTTTATATCTATCTATCTACCTATCTACCTATCTATTTATCTTTATATCTATCTATCTATCTATACTTATCTGGTCTCTAATCTAATCCCTATGTGGGCCCGGCAGGGGAACCCTAAGGTTCCGTGAATACAATACAGAGAATTAAAATTATGTGATATGAAACCTAAAGGGAAACGGGAAGAGAAAGGGATCTAGGAGAAGGGGAACCTTAATGGAAGGGGAAAAGAACAGAATTTAGGATTGAGAATATTTCAAAAGAAGGTGATGATAAAGAGAAAAAGAATCAAAAGAAAGGGAACCAGGGGAAAGGTCAGGAGACTAATAGAAAAGGGAAAGAGAACCGGGAGAAAGAGAACCAGGGGAAAGGTCAGGAGACTAATAAAAGGGGAAAGAGAACCGGGAGAAAGAGAACCAGGGGAAAGGTCAGGAGACTATAAAAAGGGGAAAGAGAACTGAGAGAAAGAGAACCAGGGGAAAGGTCAGGGGACTAATGAGACGTGGAAAGAGAATCAGGAAAAGGTCAGGGGACTACGGAAAAGGGGAAAGAGAACCAGGAGAAAGGTCAGATTGAAAATNTGATCTTTCCTTGGTTAAGTAAGTTATGTCTCAATATGCTCCCCAGCTTCCCCAGGGCCCAAAACTTAAGACAGGGTATCGTTATGAAAACCAGTTTTAAAACCCGGGTTTCACGAATGGGGTTTTGTGAATATCAATATTTTTGTCATGAAATGTTATTTTTCAGTTTGTTTATATTCTCCATTTTTTTAGAATCTCCTAAATCAAAATCTACACAAATGTAAAGACCCCAAAAAGGAAACTCGGGAGTTTTGTTCAACGATACTCTTTTAAATTTCGGCCTCAGCTTGATCATTTATGTACTTTATAAACTCTGCTTGTAATCATGTACACTAATACTGTACGCTGTGTGTAATTACAAAAGTGGAAACAGTTTCTTATACTTGTCGTATGTGAAAAAAATGCCACGCAAACTTCATTTTGCTGCTTTTTTTGAGCGGAAGTCTCCATCCCCGGATTCTAAAGAACCTTCAGTGATCGCAACATGCTTGCCTTGTGCTACAAGAAAGTGTCCGATAAGTAAGAAAATAATCTATATAATAAAGATCTTCGCTAGGGGGGCCGAGCGCTGCGGCTAGGACAGGCTAGGGGGCCGAGCGCCGCGGCTAGGACAGGCTAGGGGGCGTAGTTAACAGATGAATAAAATGTAGTCCGTTAATGAATAAATGCATTGATGAACAATTGCAGTGACATGAATTAATGAAACAAATTGCAGTTTATTTATGAATAAATTGTAGTGTATTAATGAATAAATTGCGATGCATAGATGAATAATTGCAGTATATTAACGCTAATTGCAGTTTATTTATAAATAAATTGCAATGATAAGCAATAGCAGTGCATTGATAAACAATTACAGGACATAAATACGCAATTACAGTACATAGATGAACAAAATTGATGTCATAAAAAATGAACTATATTTGAATGGGGGTGCGTTGAACTATTTTGGAATAATCTGAAATTATAAACAATAAATCTACATTAACATACCACTTTTTTAAGTTCTTGAAAAAAAAAAAATTAAAATTTAGAATGAATTTTACAAAAATTCTTCTCTAATCTAGTAAATCTGTTTCAGCAAGGTTAAGCATGGAGGAGAAAACTCTTGCTCTAGCGCAAGCAATTGCTCGGCAGTCTCTGACGGAGACGGATTCTCCTCCTGGTTCTCCTAGATCAGGCAGAACTCATGCATCCATACTCCAGGAGAAGGTCCAAGGTTTCAGGTGAATTAAAGTAAATTTCACACAAGATTTAAATATTTCTTTTTTCAATCATAACTTCTTCTATTGAAGCCCTTTTGAGAAGAACAAAGATTTTATCAAAACTTATAGAGAAGATACTAGGTCGCAATTATAGCAAAACCTTCTCTTTCTATCTAGTTTGCCCTAATATTTGCTCCTGAATGATATGAAAGGTTTGACCAAATCACAATTAATTACGATTTGTTCCTTCTTAAAAATTTATGTATGCGTATGCGAAATAGGGTCCGCCCTAGTATACGACTTTTGCCCCCCCCCCCCTCCCTACCCCCTCCTCAATTTTGTACGTACATGACCGTACATTTAGGGTTAGGTTAGGTTAAGACAATTTCTGGGCCGAACGCTGCGGCTAGGACAGGCTCTGGGGGGGGGCGAGCGCTGCGGCTAGGACAGGCTAGGGGCCAAGCGCCGCGGCTAGGACAGGCTAGGGGGCCGGGCGCTGCGGCCACATGATGAGGATCCATGTACAAAATTGATAGGAGGAGAAAAATCGTTCTCTAGGAAATTACCTGCAAAATAAATAATATTTTTAATTCTAAGAACCTATGACGTAAAATAACGAGTCTGGTCGGTAAAACCCAATATATTTCCTCTTACCCCCCCCCCTTCCTTTCTTTTCTTTTGCTAATTCAGTATCAGTCTGTCATAACGTGGTAGGTTTTACATTTATTCATTCTTATATTTTATATATTTCAGTCTTCTGTCATTTTGGTCTTTTTCCTTCGTATTAAACGAGATACCTCTAAATTAAATTGTTACGACTTTTTGGGAAAGTTAATTAATTAATTAAATTAAAGTGTAATTAAAGAAATATGAAAGTTAATATAAACTTATTTAAAATCCGGTTTAATACGTAGTAATTTAAAATTAAATTGTACACTTTCGCCTTAGAATTTAAAAAAATTGAATTTGTAACAAATCTTTAAAAATTCTTTTGAAGGGCCGAGCGCTGCGGCCACATGTCTTACATTTAAGATCCTCTTTCATTTAAGATCCATGTAAAAAATTGATAGTTCTCTAGGAAATTACCAATAATCCCTGCATCCATGCCCAAAAAAGTATTATGCATTATTTACGGATTTTCATGATTCTGTGTTTTCTCCACTTACTTTTACGAGAAAAGTGCTTTCGGGATTTTTTTAGCATTGAGAATATCTCTTTAAAAATATTCAACACTTGTAAAAAATCAAAATTCCTTATTCTCCCTGTTTATTTAAACTCTTATTCTTGCAAACAAACAATATTAAGGGTTTTAGAGTTTGTAAATTTAGGCGAATTGACTCAGACTGGAATCAAGAAAATATTGAGACAAACCCCAACCGGTTTGTGGGATGACGTGCTTATCTTCTTTGCAACCCACCCCCTCACCCAGTTAGTGGGTGGGATGACGTGCTATCTTCTTTGCAACCCCCCCTCCCTCACCCGGTTTGTGGGATGACGTGCTATCTTCTTTGCAACCCACCCCCTCACCACCGGTTAGTGGGGTGGTGACAAGATACCTCCTTTGTGATCTTTTAAAATCTGATTTTGCTTGACGAAAACATGCAAGAAAGGTATCAAGCTTTCATAAAAGTTCACGATATAAAACAAGATTGTTTAAGTTTTTACTAACAAAGAGAAAAGATAATTCTTGAGGAAAAAATGGCGCAATTAAGATCAGCTGAACCGACGCATTTTTTCAAGGTTGAGCAGCAGCATCCTCTGTGGATCAGTTTTTTAGGATGATTTTCAAGTTTGAAGAGTTCTCTAGGTGGTAGTGTGAGCACAGAGCAGTGCTGGATTGATCTTGAACCGAGTATGGCACGTGTTGAGACTAGAAGGCCTGTGAAGGTCTATTCTAACTGTTTAGAAGATTTTATTGAGTTAAGATTACGCACTAGGAGTCTCCACGGAACCCAGCGAGCTCAATCCAGCTCCTCTGTCAAGCTCACGTAGGTTTATTAAGTAAAATAGTTTATCTGTTAAGACGTATCTCTGGGACGGGTTGGCTCAGTACTGTATAATCTTAATATATCTAAAGATTTCAACATTGTTAAGAATGTATGGATCGTAGATCTAAGCTTAGTACAGTGGTGGTGGTATATTGCCGTTTAAATTACAGGTTCTACATGAGCCGAGAGGAGTAGGGTGGGGGGGGGGGTCAGCTGTTGCCTATAAGATTTATACGTCATGGGTGCAAGGGGGGAGATTATCGGTTCTGTAGATTTATTGCTTCTATTCCCTATAATTGTAAGTAAACTAAAAGAGAAGAGGTAGAGGTAGGAAAGCTTGAGAAAGCTGGATTTGCATGGAAACAGTAGATAAACACAATTCAGCTGATTCGTCTCTTACTGGATATAACTCAAACCACAGAGATTAGATCTATACAGTAAAACGTAGAACCCGGAGAAAATGTGAAATCAAACTGCTCAAATCCATCAAAATTAGTTAATATGGAGGGAGAAGTAATAAGTGATATATGTTGCCTGTCTAACCTAGATAATAGTTTATTATCCGTCCCTGGATCATCTCTAGAGGATAATGAGACCCTTAAACCTGGAGATAATACGGTTGAAAAAGAACTGAAAAGGTATAGGTACGAGGATCCATTCATTCTTGCCTGTCAGCTAAATATTTTTGTAGATCTGTTTAAAACTGTGAAATTGACAAATATTTGATACAAACTCGGCTAAACTTGTAAACACGTGAATGGTCATGTTTTCATCAATACAGCAATAAAGGGGATCCTTTTCAAATATATCAGTGCAAATGCAAATATTTACGTTCAACGCAAATATTTAGTACAAATACAAATATTTAAGTACAAATACAAATATTTAAGTACAAATACATATAGTTAAGTACAAATGCAAATATTTACGTTAAACGCAAATTTTTAAGTACAAATACAAATATTTTAAGTACAAATACATAATGTTAAGTACAAATACAAATATTTCAGTACAAATACAAACAGTTATAAGTACAAATATAAATATTTAAGTACTTGTTTATACTTGCTACTTGCAAACTAGATTCTTGGACATTTGAAAAGAGTGAAAGTGCTGAATAAAACAAACTAATTGATTTGCTTCACGTCTCGTGTCTGAAAAAATTGACGAAAAATGTGAATTTTTATAATTTACTAGATACAGACGTAATCCATTCAGAAGTACACGTGACAAAATAAATCTCAAAATAAAATGAAAACCCGTCTAGACAGTTTGATTAAATTGACGATGTATCACAAAACAAAATGTTTCTCAAGCAGAAAGAATCAATTTTCCGTAACTTCGACTAAAAATAAGAAAATTGCATATTTTCAAGAAGTGAAATAAAAATATAAAAAACAAGTCAAACAAAGGTATTCCAATAAAAGGATTGAGTTGTTTTTTTTACAACACCCAATGATATTGTATTCATGAAGTATTTTAAGGTTAGTAATAGTTGCAGCATTCTTTTAATATTTGTTGCATCATCCTTCTCATATCCATGAACTTCACTGAAACCTATTAAAAGCAAAGTAAAAAAACACAGAGCTATTTCAGCAACATGATAAGAATTATGTTTGCATTCTTAATATTCTTAAGATATAGACATAATCTCAAGGATGAATTGTAACCAAGGAATATTTATTTAACGACTTCCTTGTCAAATACCTGGACGAAGAACAATAATTAAAGTGTAAACAATGGTCTCCTGAATGATTAAAAGAGTATTGTTTTATGTTGAATATATGTGGGAACCTGTCTCAGGATTCTCCTTTGAGAATTGGTGTCAGAGTTCCTGTTTGAGTAAGAACCAGTCTCAGGGTTCTTGTTTGATTATGGAGAACATTTCTCCGGGTTTTACTTTGAGTAGGGAGAACTATCTCGGGTTCTCCTTTGAGATGGGGAGAATTGGTCTGTTTTAGTAAGAACCTGTCTCAGGGTTCTTGGTTGGGTATGGAAAACCTTTCACCGGGTTTTACTTTGTGTAGGGAGAACCTATCTCCGGGTCCCTGTTTGAGTAGGGACCCGGAGATAGGGAGAAAATGTAATTAAGTTTGGAGGAATAGTTGGAAAAATCTTGAGGGAGTGAATGTTTTAGCTCATCATTGAAGAAGAGAGGGAGTGTAATTTGCGGAATTTCCTCATAGTATATGGCATGGACATTAAACATGAACAAACAAAGCTTATCTTTCCTTGGTTAATCAAGTTGCATCGTATCATCAGTCAATGAATGTGTTTACAAAGCTTGGCTAGTAGAGACAGGAGTGTTTGAAGTGGATGGGAAATCAAAATGACGGAAAATAATTCACACGATAAAGATTTGGTTGACCAGGAAAGGAAAATTATAAAGATATTCTAACTTTCGTAACAGTATTACATTATTTTTTATATTTAGATTTTTGAATTGTAACTTTTTATAATCAGGAATTATGAAAAAAATAATATTGTTGAAGTCAGCAAATGAGCTTAAACCTTTAAAATATCTTGTCTGAAGGAAACTATTCAGTTCGACTCAATCCTCAGCTCAAGTATGCCATCAACTGTTCAGCTCAGTTTGCGCAAACAGGAGCTCATTGAGCTCATCAAGAAGGAGCTCACTCAGCTCAAAAAGGAGCCTCCTCCTAAATTTATTGTGGAGAATGAGCCGAAAGAAAGCTTGAATTTGAGTGGAAATATTATTAAACTTGAAAATACCCGGATCAGACAAATCAGAGAGTGAGTTCAATATAAGATTATTAAAACAGTATATTGTACAATGCCTAAATGCCTGATGATAATCAATATAGTTTCTGCAATATTCATCAAAAACTGAATACTTTTTGGATACTTTATACTTTATTGTTCTAAAGCGGATAATTCTCAATTAGCTATTATTTAAAATTGGAATTTTTTTCTTTTAATATTTTATCATACTTGGGAATAAATTAAATTTCTAATAGTTTTCTAAAGTATAATTAATATTTGATCTCTTAACTCTTAATGTGCATAAATCATGATAAAACAAATTAAATTAATCTGTTCACAATTTTAAAGCATCACACTAAGTTAATTTTAACTATTCCTCAAATATCCTTTTTTTCAGGACATGGCCAGTTTTCCACAATTTTTTAGCTTTGCTTGTATAATTCCACTCATCGATATTTTAAATGTGACTAGGGTTATGTTGTGAATTATTTAATGGAACTGTCCCTTCAAATTTTCGAGAACATTCTCTTCATGATTTCTCATTTATTACATAATACTACTTCTTGGTTTGATAGCACAAGTTGTAGCTTAGTTTGGTCAAAATAACCGTAGATAATATTTTGTTTACTTTAATTTTATTTTCTTGATTATTTAAAAAATATATATGAAGTTAAGATATTTTTTCTTCCACGGAATAATGGTTTGTTTGTTTGTTTTCATGAAAAAAAGTCTATTAAAAGGATGAAAATTTTAGTTAAATTAAGTTGATGATTTACGAACAATTTTTATCTCGTTTATTCTTTAAAAATGAATAGGTTACACCTGATTTAAGATAATAATGGAGAATTCTAAACTCAGGTGTTTAAAATAGAAGTATCGACAAAAAAAACTCTTGTAAGATCTGTGTAGAGCTTCAGTTTACGTCTATACTTCAAATCTCTATTTTTCCAGGAGAACTCGGTCTCTGAATGCTCCAAGTCCCGTTCAGCAGTTTGGACCGTGTGGGCGGATCATGAAAAACTCGGCAATGGTAATGTAAGTATAAACAAAAATAAAAAATTTGTAATCAATTTTAATGATTTTTTTTAGGACCATCCAAGATCCGGCTTCACAGAGACTCACGTGGTACAAGCCTCCTCTAACCGTCCTCGTAATCAAGAAAGTACGGGATGCCGCGGTTATTTCACCGTTCATACAGTTAGTACAGTGGTTCATTCATGAGAAACGGATGGTCGTCTTCGTCGAATCCGCAGGTTAGGATTGATACTAGACATAGAAAATTACTTCTGATTTGATGTTTAGTTTCACAATTATATTTTTAGTTATGGATGATCCTTTGCTAATCAACAACCCGTCCTTTGGACTAGTCCAGGACAAGCTGATGACCTTCACGGAGTCCAAGGACGACCTCACCGACAAGATTGACTTCGTGGTGTGTTTGGGTGGAGACGGAACACTTCTATACGCTAGTTCCTTGTTCCAGCAGTCTGTTCCACCGATCATGGCGTTCCATCTTGGTTCTCTGGGATTCCTTACTCCGTTTAAATTTGAAGATTTTCGTCAGCAGGTTTGCATTTATTTTCATCTTATTTATCGTGACGTTAGTGGAATAAAACTATTACTAAGCTTCAATCTTTTTACTTATCTTTTTCGCTAAAAGTGTTAATTCTGTCCGTTCTGTTTATTCTGTTCGTTCTGTTTATTCTGTTCATCCTGTTCATCCTGTTTATGTTGTCCATATCCTGTTCATATCATGTCCATCCTGTCAGTCCTGTTCATCGGCTTATCCTAATTATGTTGTACATTCTGTGACAAGGCACTGTAAATGAATTCTTAATTTTGTTTAGGTGACCCATGTACTAGAGGGACATGCTGCTCTAACCTTGAGATCCAGGCTCAGATGCATTCTTATTAAACAAGCAGAGGAAATTAAAAATGTGAGTAATTAATTCCTTGATAAACGAACTTTTGCATAAAGAAAAATCTCAAAAATATTTTTTTTACTGTATCCTAGTTTAAGAACAAAACTAGGAAATGTTTTCCAATACTTACTTATTCTCCATAAGGTTGATATTTACAGGGTGGCCAAAATGTACGGATTGTACGGATTGTACGGATTTTTTTATTTTGTAACCCTAAAATTGTACGGATTGTACGGATTTTTTTTCAAATTGTACGGATTGTGCAGATTTTTATCCTGGAAATACACCGGTTTTTTCTAATTTTCACTCATTTCAGCAAGTTTTTCATGAAAATTTAAGAAAAAAAATCTCGTCAAAATGAAGTTAATTTAACTTATTTTCTGCATTCTAAATGATATTAGATTGATTAACGTTTCAATTGACAATCAAAATTCATTCATAATTTTCGAGATCCCAGAAGTGT